TTACTAGTGACTTGAACATTGTCAATAACACTTCTCCTCAAAATGTGTTATCCAAAGACCCGAAATAACGTAAGCCTTAATCCATCAATCGGAAACACAACTTCATAAGACAGATGGATTCAATCAAAAATTATGCCAGTCATCAAAGAAAAAAAAAGAAGACGTGTATACTCTTTCCGAATGTATTTAGGCTGTAAGGTTCGTTAATACAAATTAGAATGTTCATTAGATGCAGATACTAACCAAATGCATTGATCTGTTAGAGGAAACACAATCTAAGCTTCTTTCCTCTTAAATATAAAAAAGTATTAAATCATTGACTTTTTACCCTTTACGCAAGTATTCCATATTCTAAGCTTAAAGACAAATTGAAAGAATTGATCCTGCTTTGCTTCATAAAATAGAATGGATAACGTAGTTCAAGTGTCAGGTCTTAGGGGGGGAGAAATCGAGCTTTGTGAAAAATATCAACTCTGGTTAAAACAAAATATTTTCCCAAACTTTCGGACATTATCACTATCCTCGTTTTTTTTATTAACAACATTTCTGTTAAGTTTAGGAACATATCTTCCAACAATCAATCCACATTGAGAACCAACTGTGCTCCATTTTTTGTCAAATACAGTTATGTCTGCCTCATATTTTTACTTACATCTAGAAACTGACAATGAGCGTCGTCGGTTGAAAGGAAAACACTTCGACAAACGAGATAATTTTAGCTTCTCTATTGCGCACGTTACGTTTCTATGCATCAACATACCAGCAGCGCCTGCATATGGTGTATATATTTCCTAGTTATACAATATTCCAGAGCTTGTATTTCCTATCATGATGTCCTTGGTAGAGGGTTGTTGCTGATCAAACCATGAGTTCCAAGTTCTGAACCTTTCATACCTTTGACGATTTTATGGACGCTACCTGGAGTTGGTTAACCGTTATTGAATATCTGTTACACAGATGACGACAGATATGTTCCAATTGTCGTAAGCAAAATCCCGTCCTCTATTCCAGTAATGTGATCGATCACCTTTTTGTGCTAACATGAGCAACGCATCGGGTGTCTCATCTGAAGTATTATCAACTTACCCTTTCGAAGCACATGCGATCACCCCCGATTGTTGATGGGATTCGTATAGTTTTCTATGTTGTGTTTTGTATACTGCTGTTAGTCATTTGGTCGTTTTTCTTTTTTACCAAGGCAGGCTCAGTTCGTTTTCGACTTGTAAATTTGAATATCCTTTTTTTGGATTTTGCTATACATAATTGATTTTTGGTTTGATCAGATCTTCAACGTAAGTATTATATTTTTGATTTTAAAATATTTTGGCCTCGAGCATCACTGAAAAGACATTAATTGTAGAAATGCACATCTGGTGTAGAAAAATCGATACCGTTTATGTTATTGGTATTTTTATTTCTCTTTTTTGCATATACTTCTGTAAACATAATCTGAGCTGAGTAGTTTCGTTTAGCATGTTTAATGAGGATAATATATTTGATGTAAAATCTTCTAAATTTAATAATTCTTTTGACGCGAATGGACAAGAAATTGCAACATCTTGTATCATATGACCTTAGTTTATGAACTGTTTTGACCATATCATTATCTTCAAAGGGGGGGGGGGGAATAGCTTTTATTGTAACGATCCCAGAAAAAAGATGGAACATTGGTGGGCAGCCAATAATTTTTAGAGTAGTAGTAAAAAAAAGATCATTTTAACATGCAGTCCCCTGACATTTGTGAATGACGCTATACATAACATATTTGATTATGTAAAGGTTTCTTCGACACCTTGCTTACCTCTATAATCTAATCTGTTATTAGGTTTTCGATCCTCCCTACACCTGCCTCATTGTGTTAGGTATGTCTTGTTTCCTTGTTTCCTTATTGCTATTTTTTATTATTATCCTTTGATAATTATAGAGCATCTATTGCCTACAATTTCCAGCCATCATTAACATACGTATATATTGAAGATTAAAAGCGTGTGTTGGTTTTGACAAATAGCCAGTTGATATGCCTTACACTTGTACAATGGGTTATAGAGAACATTAATGTTACGCAACACAAAACATACTGCAAAATAAGAACATGTTACCCCGAAACGGGACCTTAGTGGTACGAATGATATCCGTTGAAGTCTATAAATTAAAAAAGAGGATCATTAATGATTCAGATACAAAAAAAATCAAACATTTATAAGATAAAGAGAAGTGTATCTAAAATGCACGTTTGCCATGTTATCGAGAACATTCAACAAATTCCTTTACTTAAATAAAACGTCTAAATGTTTATGATATAAAAAAGGAGATGTGGTATGATTGCCAATGAGACAACTATCTACCAAAGATCAAATGAAGTGGATGTTAACAATTATAGACAACCATACGGCCTTCAACAATGGGAAAATCCATACCGAGTAGACATGAAAAATATGCAACAATACAATTAAGAAAACTAATGGCTTAATTTATAACAAAACAATTTAAGAAAAACAAATATGACAGACATGAACCAACGACAACCACTGAACTACAGGCTCCTGACTTAGGACAGGCACACACAGAATGTGGCGGATTAAGCATGTTTGTGGGCGCTCAACCCTCCCCTAATCTGGGACAGTGGTGAAGCAGTACAACATAAGAAGAAGCTATTAAAATCAGTTGAAGGAAGCTTAACTCATCAGATCGATGCAAAGCAGAAAAACAGTAAACAAAAACACTGACCGGACATGGCAGGGTATATATCCATCCCTTATCCATAAAAACAAAAAAGACACTAAGTACAGATATAAGAGTACACGCAGTTACTGGCAGCTAGTTCAACGCCAATAACAACTAATAAAAAAATATCATGTATCTAAGACTAAAATAGCAATCAGTACACATCCAACATCCTATGAATTTAGTGTAAAGACGTCATTAACAGTCAGAGAAAAAGATGACCTTGTGCAAATCCAAAATATAGATATCGACATATTGTAATACCGTGAAACTACATATGTGTATAAACATAATATTTAGTATGGTTTTAATTTACTGATATCAAAATAAATATTTATACCAATAAAAACAATATTCAGATACTTGATTACAGTGTTGAATAGGTAAACTTTTAGAATAAGTTTATTTAAAGCATTGATCAGTTTACCCGGATCGTATATAAATTTCCGGGATCGGTTAACAACAGCTCAGTAAAATCTAGGATATGCTAATCCGTTTGAAATACAGCCAAACTTGCAAACCAAATCTTTGTATCTCTGATGTTTGTTTCATTGAAATGTGTATTGCATACAGTATTGTTTTGGAAAAATCAACAGGAAAAGCTAATATGCAATGTACTTTGGCCATTTTTTAAAACTCCATTTGACGTATAGTTAGTTTTAAATCAGAAACATTAAGTAAATAGCAGAGAAGTCAAAGTTATTGATGCATTACATAAGGGATAGTATGCACTCAAACAGATATGTTGGACCTGATACATGTTATACATAAAGCCCTTATATCTGGTTTTTGTGATAATGGTTCTGAGGCCCGACCTGTTTTGAATGCTTATATATATTGAATGCAAGTAATTTGAAAAGAAAAACTTACAATAAATTGTATTTTTAAAAGAGCACAAAACATGGCAATTAGCAACAAGAGTTTGTTTCTTTAATAAGCTATCATCATAGATTAATACAGAGTACAGCCTTTGTCTAATTCAGGAGAGGGGATTTTTTGTCTGTAAAATACTGTAAACAAATGAATTGGTATATCTCAGTAGAATAATATATAAAAATTAGAACATTCAACCATTCACATTTTTGTTAAGATTTATTTTGTGACATCTCAAAGAGTGATTTTCTCAAGTACGATCAACATAAAATAAAAGTAGAGTCCTAATCTTCAGTAAAATAAACACGTGATCATAAATATGATATAAATATATTTATGTACGGTAGGCGTATGAATTGTCGAATATAGAAAGCGGCCTATAGTAATAACAATAGAGTAAGAAGTCCCGATAGTACTAACAGTGGTGCGTGCACGAGAAAAGTTTATTATGCGCTTCTTTTTTGTAGATTGCATGTTATTTGATTGAAAATGAAGTCATTTGTGGTGCATACAATTGAGGACATTTTTTTAATTGCGTTTTGTAGTAAGTGTATAATAAATTTGAAAGATGATCACCGCACCTGATAGTCTGTATAATGGTATTTGTCTTTATTAGATACAGAAATGATTTCATTGTCAGTCAAATATTTAAGACATACGTATTTACTTTTCGTGGTTGTTATTAGGTTGTCATGAGAAAATTGGAATTCAGAATTCAGAGTGCATAAATAATCTATTTTCGGTTGAACAGAGTTAATTAAGAAAATGAAATATATAACCATGCATATTAAAAAATGTGTCATATATAAGTCTTACATGTAGTGTAACTAACTTAGATTTTATGTTGGTTTTTCTCATCTTTTATTTATTTAATGGGACGTCAAATTAACGATATGAACTGTACGAACGAAAAAGATTGAAACAGGTTCATCTTATATTTATTTTCTTTTACGAACAACATCACAGTATAGTCTAAAGTTGTGTTGATTGAACATGTAGAAGGTTATGTTGAGTTTCAGATGTAATATAGTGTCATCAAAATTTGTTTTTGTGTGATGATGCTCCTTTCCTTGTGTAGTTAAGTTATTTATGCCTCTTTTATGATTCGAAATTGATACCGACGTCAGTCGACACTTACGTCAAGGTACAAACATATATAACAAAAACATTACGTTGAATACAGTCTGACGTTGTTATATTCAGGTTCATTAACAAAAGTAAACATATCATGCCGTGTATTCATTATCAGCCATATGATTCGAACGTCATATCTAGTATTTCGTGTTAATTTTTTGTATTGACATCTTACAAACTGACCTATCACGTGTTCAATTAACGCTTTCTGAGAAAAGGTATAAATGAAGCATTCTATTGGAAATCATTTGTATCATAAGTTTGTGTGCCATATCAAAAGGATAGTCGAAAATGAGGAATAAACAATGGAATTCATAGATTTTTTATCCGTTGAGGTATGTAAAATATTATTATTATATCAATGCAATAAATAATTTGAAAAAATAGATGTCTTGCTCCACATATAGTTTTAAATCCATCTGTGACAAATTGAAAACCATGAAAGAAGCGTACTTTTGATCATGAAGACATAGCATTGTCATTTGTGCTTTTTTTCGCATCTCCTTGCATACGTTATTTATATCATATTAATTCACTCTCAACCACAATATTGGATAGTTTTACCCGTGTTATTTAATATGGAATCTGCATAAAAATTGTATACTAATTAATATAGTGAAAACAACAATTTAAATAGCATGTGCTTCTGTATTTTTTTCATAGAGTAAGCATAAAATGATAAAACTTACATTAACAAATTATTTTATTTAATTTAGAATAATGATCTTCCAGCTGATGCTTATGCTGTTGTGTTTTCTGTCCACGATAACAATTCGTTTACAATAGCAGAGGGATTTCTACATTATATGAGCAATTATTTTGATAGTGTTAGACCAATTATATGAGTGGCTAACAAGATTGATATAGTAAGAAAACGACAAGTAACCAAAGAAGGTAAGATTTCCACTTTTGCTTTTTTATCTTTATTTTTATTTATTATTTATTATCTATTATTTTATTTATTTGTTTATATATAATATAAATGTCAAAGGCTCTTATTTGGTTTTTATAATCTCATTAATTTTGTAAATGATATGTTTATGAAGATTTTTTTACGACTGATGTATTTAATCTGCAACTGGCATGAAAAATATTTTGGAAAATTCGAAAAAAGAAACAAAAGATAAGGCTTTACTTATAGTCACAAACATAATTTAGAATATTTATGTCCTGCATTTATTAAGAAGAGGCGCTGGATGTCAAATTATAAATATAATCTGATCTTATTCATGGTTATCGGTAAACAAGTAATAGTCTATTGTAAAAAATTTTCAGACCCATGTCAGCTCGCCAAGGAATTCGACTGGAAATATATCGAAACATCTGCTGTGCTAAATAATACTGTTGACGAACTATTTGTTTGAATATTGAAACAAATAAAACTGAAGTTTTACCCAAAGACTATTGAAAAAGCAGTAATGCTTTCACAGGACACAGGGGAAAATCATTCATCATGTAAAGAACCCCAAAAACTTTTAAAAGAAACTGCAAACCTTTCTTAAGATGTAAACATTTATTTGATCTGTGATTTTTTTTATAAAATGTATGCATTAAACCAATTGTATTAAAAGTCATACACAAAATAGATTTGTATTTCAACATAGGATTGTGTTAGTTCAGTTTACTTTACGTTGAGAGCAAAACAATGATATGACGCAGGTTTCTTCAAAAGTGATGATTTTCTATAAATTGTTTGAAATTTCACAGTGATATCATACTTTAACTTTGTTTAAACCTGTTTATTTACTTTTGACTTTAATTATTTATCACTTGTAATTTTTTATAAACTGTGTATTTGCATTCAGGTGTCACAGGTCAAATTATTCGTTCATTGTGTGCTAATTTACGTTTTTTGATTGAGTTAAGCCTTCCAACTGATATTTTATAGTGTGTTTTTCTATGTTGTGATGTTATACTATTGATTCAGAAAAGGGAGAAGGTTTGGTACCATTAAAACGTTTAATCCCGCTGCAAATGTTTGCACCTGTCCTAAGTAAGGAATCTGATTACAGTAGTTGTCGTCTGTCTATGTAGTTCATACGGGTTTCTCGTTTCTCGTTTTTATATAGATAAGACCGTTGGTTTTTCCGTTTGAATGGTTTTACACTAGTAATTTTTTGGGGCCCTTTATAGCTTGCTGTTCGGTGTGAGCCAGTGCTCCGTGTTGAAGGCCGTACCTTGACCTATAATGGTTTACTTTTATAAATTTGAACTTGGATGGAGAGTTGTCTCATTGGCACTCATACCACATCTTCCTATATCTATATATTTTTTTTCAGATTTTACCCACCACATGCTACATATCTAAAACAATTCTTGTAGTATTTAGAGAGACATTGTATCAGTAAACAAGCTATAGTATACTCACTATTTATTTTCATCTCATCGACCTCAATTAACTCATGCTTAATAAAGCATAGTGGTGCTTGACTACAATTCGTTAAACAGACAAATCCGACTTTAAAACAATCAAATAGTCATAGTCCATTTACCAAATAATCTAATCGGTAATTTTGAAAATTTGAGAAGCATAGGTATAACTTATACTTTAACTAAGAATATTAACTATCGCACAACATATAATGCATTTATAATATTATACATTAAATTTATTTTGTATTTAGATATTTTGGCAAATTACAAAATGACATCACACGTGTGTTTGCACCACAAGTATTTCTAAAAGTTGTCTGTTTAATGTCACATTTTTAGTGTGAAGAAATATTGTTTTTGTGTAATGATGTGCCTTGTCCTTGTCTTGTTTAATTATTTGTAAGGGATCTGTGAATGATACTGACGTCATTTGACACTTCATTACAGTTTTGTAGATGATAGCGACGTCATTTGACACTTTAGTCCAAGTGCAAACATGTACATGAGAATAATAACACTTGCGTTAGATGTATCTCTGACGGGTTTAAATTCATGTACATTAACAAGATAAACATATCATGCTGTGAAAGCATCATCAGTCGTATGATTCGAACGTCATAATTAGTAGTTAGAGTCAAAACCGTGAACCTGATGATGAACAAATGTGTTGAAAGGTCTATATTATGACGGGAAACAGGAACATTGTACCTGTCAACCAATGTGTTGTATAGACAGAAGAATTTGTGAAGTGATAATTCAGGATTACGTCCTTGCAGCATTGCTAGAAAAGTTTTGAATCAAGAGTTTCCTTTTTTTAATGAAATTACCATACTGACAACATGCCCTGTTATAACATATTATCTCGAATATTGATGCCATCAACTTTGGCAATATCTTTCATCATGAAGTAAGTCTCTTTCACATACCATCTACTTTAAAGATGCGTCTTTACCAATCATCTCTTATATCCAAGGTGTAATACCACCATTGATTTTTACCTATTAGTCTTTGTTAAATTTGCACTTTTAAAAAAATTGTGCAGAATTTATCTTTGTTTCAAATAAAGAAATACTTGGCATGAGTAAAGTTTTATCCTGTCCAGTACTATAGACAAAATGTCATATAACATTTCATGCATATAAGAAAATAACTATCACTGGAAGTTAACCAATCAAATTTTAACCTTTTTTCCTTGTGTACAAGGTTTTGTAACCATGTAACCTCAAGTTTCAAAAATATTCTATAGAAACACCAAATAAAAAAATAATATTGCTTTGAAACACCCAAGATATATGTTAATGACTCAGAAATGGTTTACTGCAATGGAATGTAGAATTAATTTCCTACAACTGTCAAATTCAAGGGAATATTTTTTTTCGACCCTTTTTTGTATGCAACCGGATGTGACGTACTATGATTTGGTGGTATTAAACCTCCAAACTAACTGCGACTAAAATTTTCTATTACACACATGCGTTGCAATAATGCAAGTCTTAACCTCCTAATTGGACATGTGTTTGTTCCCAATACATATATAATCCGACTGGCCACGTTATTACTGGTAACATGATCATTTTTAATAACACTTCTCTACAAAATGTGTTATCCAAAAGCCCAAAATGTCGTTAACCATTCCCAGCGGACTGGTTCCTTTATTCATATGAGTCAAATTTCGTACAATGTTACAGTCATAATTTTAAATATGTAGATAAAATGCCTTTAAAAAACTTTCATCAAGTTTGGTTGGATCAATCCAGCATAACAAGAAGTCAAGAGTACATCAAATAATGATAATCAGAGGTTGTAATCAGTATGTTTTAATCACTTTGTATTCTAAATTACATCTGCTCTTTATTGTTTGTTCTAGGTTTTTCTTATGTTCAAACTATTTGATCTCGAGTATGAATAATCGGTAATTGTCGAAATTGTACCATTTAACGTCCAAAGCGACTTATCGACATCATACTGGGACATAATTTTCCATGGTTATTTGTTTTCTAACATGATACAATGAATAAAAAAAAAGCTTGCATTGTCCTTTAAATTTACGTTTCGCTATATAGATAATGTCCTCTCACTAAATGATTTATAGTTTGAGATTATGTTGAACGCATTTATCCCGCAAAACTTGAAGTAAAGAATGCAACAAACACAATTCAGTAAGCTTCATACCTTTATTTACATCTAGAAATTTACAATGAGGGTCGGTTAACATCAACTTTATACGACAAAAGAGATAAGTTCAGATTCTCTATTGTGGCTTATCCATTTCAATGTAGCAGCATTCCGGTAGTGGCTGCATATGAAATATACATCTCCCAGTTGTAAACGAAATTATAGAGCTTGCATTCCTATCATGATTTCCTTGATAGAGGGTTAGCTGCTTACAAGGAAGGTATTACACATCGAGTTCAAGTTATGAAGTTGAAATTATGCCTTTTAAAATTTACCGGACCCATCACGAGTTGGTTGACCATTATTGCAAAGTGTTTTACGAAAGATGACAGATATGTTTCAATTGTCGTAACCACACTCCCGTCCTTTTTTACTCGAAAATGTGATCAACAGATTTAGACTTATCACGGGGGTGGTACTTGAACCAGAAAAGAGACGGGTGCACACGTGAACCAGTATCTGATTATCTTTCCGGCTTCTCGGATCACCCCCGATTTTTATCTTTCATTTCTCTTTCATACTCTGAAATACAGTCAACATGGCCACACTCTTGTTGTTCTCCTATTTGTGTGTTGCTTTTCAGAAGCCATTTGTATAACGGATGTCATTGGTTTTCAGTTTGCCTTGAACATGTGTTAAATGGTTTGATTTTTTTTGCATTAATACATAAAACGTCAGTTGAACAGTTAAATTGTTTAATGTTTTTGTTTATCGTGAACATTTTATCTTTCATACGAAAATAAATGGCTGTACTATGATCTATGGTTCTTTGTTGTAAGATGTATAATTCATACTTTGCATTCATAACTTATTTTCTAATTTCATATAAAACTTTCCATATATTAACGTCTTAAAATACAGTGCCTAACATGACATCAGTATGATCAATAGCGTCAGGCGCGATCCATTACATCAACTTTTTACTTATTACGTGATAGTTTTCATCCATCTAGTTCAGTACGATTAATTATCCTTTTTGTGTCGGCGTTGATAAAGTGATCTATCTTGTATATTAATCATCGTATAGTATTCTATGCATTCATATGTGTAGACGTATTAACTTGAATATAAGTTATGCTACATGTATGAAAACAACGAACAAACAGCCCAAAATCATTACAAACAATAAAAATAAACCGTTCATTTAAATAAGCTCATCAAACTTACCAGGATTATAACTTCGATCGCCGTACACCCGTTTCGTCTACAAAACACTCATCAGTGATGCTCGAATCAAAACATTTAAAAGGGCAAATAGTATGTGTCTCAGAGTCTCTAAATATACTGTCTGGCAATCAGTAATATTATCTCTTTTTGGTAGAATATTGAATTAATTTTTTTCATTTTATGACAAATTTTGTTTTTCATATTTTATGAAAACATTTCAGAGGTTTAACTAGCTTTAAAACAGGTTAAATCCACCATTGATAGATAAGGAAATGCCTGTACCAAGTCAGGAATATGACATTTCCCATTTGGTAAAGGACTTTCCGTTTTGAATTTTCCTTGGAGTTCGGTATTTTTGTTATTTTACTTTTTTCATTATGCATGACGTTGTATTGAAAATCACCAAAATATTATTCAGCTATTTCATTTACTTGATTAACTGTAAAAAAAAAAAAAAAAATTAAAGACATTTCAAGCAATATTAGAATTAATAATAATTCTTATTAATAATTCAGTTTTAAATAATATATGGAGAATAGCTATTTTCCTATCAAAACTACTTTCAAGTTACCATATCGCAAGTATGGGATTCTTCTAATAATCACCGGAGTAATCATCGGATTTGGTTGTTGATAAACTGATTGTATGTATATAAGTGGATATTTGATATTCATCTATTGTTTTCGTCGTTATTTCTGTACAAAATGGTCATACTGATAATAATATTTTAAAATCGTTAATAATTGTATTTTTTAATTGTTGTATCGTATAATGAAGGAATATACTGTTCAAATATAAACAAGTCTAAATTGAAAACAACGTTCAAACCTATGATTGCGTTGGATAAAAACCGCAATTTTTATACGTGTGCATGCAAAACAAATTTCTTGGTAGAGGGGTCTAAATACATCACAAACAACAATTTTCCAAAAGACCAAAAAGTGAAAAAGTATATTTTAACAAAACGCATTTGACTAACAGGTCGAACAACTGATGTTCTCAAACCCTGCTGACTGCCATGGCGATTGCCAAATACACGTATCACAAGATGTAACAAAATGGATCTTATTTATTGATTTAATACAAAACAGAAAACAATAAACTTGCAAAAAAGATGGTATACTGCAAACATAACGTGCAAAAATTTGTACACCATATCCGGATTTCGAGAATTAATGTCTCTTCAGTGATGTTAGGAATCGAAACGGTATTTGGAAGGCCATATAATTTACCTCAATTTAGGATAGACTCTTGAATTTTGAAGGGTCGAAATAGGATGAACGGATCATATAATCCCGAAGGCAAATATAATACAAGCCCAAATGAAAAAATATAAACAAGTCTAAATTGAAAACAACTTTCAAACCTATGATTGCGTTGGATAAAAACCTCAATTTTTATACGTGTGCATGCAAAACAAATTTCTTGGTAGAGGGGTCTAAATACAGCACAAACAACATTTTCCAAAAGTCAAAATGAGTGAAAAAGTATATTTTAACAAAACGCATTTGACTAGCAGGGCGAACACCTGATGTTCTTAAACCCTGCTGATTGCTATTGGCGATTGCCAAATAAACGGATCACAAGATGTATCAGAATAGATATTAATATTTATTTATTACCAAACAGAAAACAATAAACTTACGGAAAAGATGGAATACCGCAAACATGAGGTGCAAAAATGTGTACACCATATACATATCTAGGATCCGAGTTTGAAATAAATTGTTTTATGATTGTACTAGCTTAAAAAAATCAATAACTTCAACCGAGTACGCACACGTTGAATAAACTTGACACGATTGACCAATAATACTTTTAGATCGAACACTTTTTTTTAAGTGAAGATGTCATTGAAGTGTTTTAATCTATCTACATTTTAAAATTGAATAACGTGTTGCCTTCAAAGTATTTTTTTATGTATGGTATTAGTCTTTAATCCTTGAATTTATTATTAAAACTATCTATTTTCATCATCTCTAACCTAGACATATACTAAACCCCTAACGGGAGGGATTGCCGTTGATTTTCATATGATGACAACATAAACGTTCGATCTATTTCATTGAGGTCTGAAGCTTGCATGCCAGTAACTGCTAGAAATCCTTTGTTAATTTATGTTGATCATTGTTATTTTGCTTAAGTTATTCTGGTACCTATTCATACATCGGACTCGAACTTCATTTAAACTAAATTTTACTGTGTATCCACATTAGCTAGAGTTATAGGGAGGGGCAGATCTCACAAAAAATGTTTAACCCTGTCGCATTTTTGAGCCTGTCCAAAGCCTGGAAGCTCTAGTCTTTGTTATACTTGTCTGTTTCTTAAAAGTTTGATTAATTTGTATGTTTCGGAGTTCAGTGTTGCGTCTATTTTGGTAAAACTGTAAACATCATTGTTCAGAAGCAAGATGAGGCCCGCCTCCGGATGCGGAATTTTCTCGCTGCGTTGAAGACCCATTAGTGCCCTTATGCTGTTTTCGGCTCTTTGCTCTGTTCTTAATTATCATAATATTATTTAAAGAAGTCATAGTAATTTGGAATTTAAATGAAGAAATGTCATGCATTCCATACTGCCTGAACCATTAATCACCATCTTTCATATACTTGAAATTGCGTTTCTCTCTTTTTTATATTGTTGTCGATATTGTTTATACTTTTGGCATCGGATTAAAGGGACAAGACAGGAATAGTTTTTGTCTGTAATGTGTCCGAAATTATATCTATATTGTTGAATATTTAAATTCTACTACAATTACATAAAATGTTGTTTTTTTTTTTCATCTAATTTCCTTTTCGTATATATTAATTATATACCTTTAATTCTTCACTAGCAGAGATAAAAAGGACTTTGTTGGGTAACGACAAATTATTCTAACCTTGCGAGATTATAGTAGACAACCTCGCGATATGTTAGCTACTGTATCTTAATGCCATTGTCCATTTCAAATCGACTATGACAGCAACTAAACATAATAACTTTATTACTTAATGCGTAGCTCATAATCGTCTTTTTATGAGAAATTTTAATCCATTCTTTATTCTTCAATATACATTATAACAAACTCTTATCCATTTTTGTCAGCGCAACCGAAGATCTGTTACCAATGTCGTCCTAAATGTAGTCATAATAATAATAATAATAATATCCAGTCTGATAAATGTCCCATCTATATATAAACATTTTCTTTTACATTTTGATTATTTGAAGTTGAACATAAATTCAGAAAAGGTTCCATTTATTTTGTTTGTTTACACAAGTTTTCATCGTATTTACCTATTTGATTTCATTCATCTGCTTTTAGCTTTTCCACAATGATTTAAGCAGATAAGCCTTTAAAATGAGTTTCACGAAGAATCAAATAATGTTGACTGTTAAAATCCTTCTGATTCCGTCTTCCTACAGCTTTTATCAAGATCAACAGACGATTTGCCTCAGGGAATCATTCTCCTTTAAAAGAATTACTATCCAATAGATCATTGGCTTTGAAATCTTACAGAACTGACCTATCACGTGTTTAATTAACTTTCTATAAGAAAAGGTATAAATAAAGCATTGTATTAGAATTCGTTTGCACTATAAGTCTGTGTGACATATCAAGAGGATGTTTAAAATATATTTAGTAAATGAATCCTGATTTGGTATAAAAAAACAATATTTGTTCTAGTTTAATAATATTGCAATACTTGAAATTGCATTGAGATATAACAAAACAGAGTGATTTAGACATGTTAAATAACAACGAAATGCAGAATAACCAAAAAACAAAATATGGCTTTCCGGAACTTTTATCATTAGGAATAAGCAAAGGAACACGATCAGAACCGAATTCTCGCAATTGTTCCTTTAAGAAAAAGAGGCGGAACACAAACGATTTTGTAAGAAAGAATTTACACAGAAACAGTTTACCTTTGTCTCCGGTCACGTTATCAAGGTCGTCTAGTGACTTGTTTGGAAATGAAATAAAGCACCAATTTAAACGAGTACGGTCTTTTACACTAACATCGGATGGACTTTTAAATGATAGTCTTCGATATCATCGTAGAAAAAGCAGTAGCTCATCAGCGTCATCTAACTATAGATCTAGATTTCCGAGTGACGCATCAAATAGTTCTACTTCTTGGAGTTGCTCATCTTCTTGTTCAACTGGATACTACAGGGTATCCATAATGGGTGCTAATGGTGTTGGTAAAACAGCATTGAAAAATTGCTTTATGAGCTCAGAGTATATTTCGTCTTCAGAATTGGTTATCCGTAAGTTTTCCTCTTTTCTTTTGATCTCAGAAAGTATATTTTGTTCAATATTATTTGATGGAATAATGCAATTAGAAAATGATAGGACTCTGCTGCATATATTAAGCACTATTTTTAAGGTTTTTAATTGCTTGACGAAAAATGAGAATGTAGAAAATTGCTTAACATTGTATTTGAATATGAAAATACTTAAGACAAAGAGTAAAGTTTAACATACATTTCTTACATTTTTAGATGAATTCGATGAAAACACACTCACTGTTGTAGTCGACAATGAGGAATCTACAATGGAATTCATAGATTTTTCATCCGTTCAGGTATGTAATTTATTAGCATTATATTGGTGCAAATGTTCATCCGTTCAGGTATGTAATTTATTAGCATTATATTGGTCCAAATGTTCATCCGTTCAGGTATGTAATTTATTAGCATTATATTGGTCCAAATGTTCATCCGTTCAGGTATGTAATTTATTAGCATTATATTGGTCCAAATGTTCATCCGTTCAGGTACATGTATGTAATTTGTTAGCATTTATATTGGTGCAAATGAATAATTTGAGAAAATAAAAAGACATCTGGCTTTTCATATTATTTGCTATCCACATTTTACAAATTTGAAACTTAGAAAGATATGTACTTCTGTTCTTGAAGACATTGCTATGTCATTGGTATTTAATCCGTACGCCCTTGCATATGTTAACTATATCATATTAAATCCCCCAAATCCACAATATTGGAATGTTTTACCCGTGTTATTTGATAAGAGTTCTACATTAATTCAGCAAGGGCTTCTGTATATTTTGTTTTATAGAAAATGCATACAATGATAAAAAAAATCTTTACAATTTATTTTGTTTAATTTAGAAAGATGATTTACCAGTTGATGCATGTGTTGTTGTGTTATCTGTCCACGATAGCGGTTCGTTTACAATAGCAGAAGGATATTTACATTATCTGCGCAATGAACTTGATAGTGATAGACCAATCATATTAGTCGCAAACAAAATTGATCTAGTCAGAAAACGACAAGTAACCACAGAAGGTAAGATTTCCATCATCACGTTTTTATAATTTATAATTTTTATTTGTTATTGAGTATTATTATTTCTTTAATTATTTTATATAATATTAATGTCACGGGCACTTATTTGGTTTTTAAAATCTCACTTTTGAATGATTTGTTTATTTCAAATATCTTCACGACTGCTGTATTTAATCTACAACTTCTGAGAAAAATATATTAGAAAAAGACACAAAAATGAGGCTACAGTTATAGTCACAAACATAATTTAGTATATTCATGTCTTGCATTGATCAAGAAGAAAAAAGGGGCATAATGTCAAATTATTAATATAGATTGATCTTATATATGGTTATCAATAAACAGGTAACATTCTATTATTATTTTTCAGAAGCACGTAAACTCGCCATGGAATTCGACTGCAAATACATCGAAACATCTGCTGTGTTAAATCATAAAGTTGACGAACTATTAGTAGGAATATTAAAACAAATAAAACTGAAGCTTAACCCAGAGGCCATTGAAAAAGCAGGGATGCTGTCTCAGGACAAAGGAAAAAAACATTCATCACGTAAAGGACCTAAAAAGCTTCTAGATAAACTCTTTAGAAGAAACTGTAAATCTTTATCGAGATTAGAAAATTTGTTTGATCTGTGATTTTAAAACATAATGTATGCAGTTGTGGAAGGATGATTGCAAAATTATTTTAGATCAATTGTATCAAAATTTATCTACAAAATGATTTTTATATCAACATAAGATTGTGTTGGTTATAGTTACTTTACGTTTTGAGCAATAACAGAAATCGTTGTATACATCATTTAGATTTTTCTTGAAAGCGATATGACAAATCACAAATAAAATCTATTTGTATTTATTTAATTAGTCCTGGTAACCTGAGATGCAATTTGTTACTGATTTGTTTTTATATTGAATGTTTACACAAAATAAAATGTTACGTTATTTTTTCTGATGTCTTTGTTTATGATTGTCTGTGTCAATATCAGTTTTTTTTTCCAAATATGATAAACGTTATTAGTATTTATTTGTTAACGATGATTGTTATTTATGGAAATATTATTAAAGAAAATTGCAAAGAAGTGATATCCTCATGTGTCTTCGTTTTTGCAAGAGCAGACTATAAGATATTTTTCCAATGCTCGATGATTTTAATGATCCTCATAAAACTTGATAAGAATTGATTGGACTTGATGATTAGATTAACGGAAAGTCATCATGAACGTATCAAGCGTTACGGATATAAAGTATTACCTGTATATTTGTACATGGACTTTAGAAAGGAGGCGTGTATTTAAACCAGACTTCATGATGTAAAAAAGTATCAATACACTAATGAGGGGATACAAATTATAAGGTTACTGAAAATCGACGATACCATGGACACAAACAAAAACACAGAAAAGTAAAAATATTCTATCGCAAACCCCAAAAGTTACCAATTATTGAAGTTGTTCTGCTCAGATGAATCTAAGTATTATGCAGAACTATGGTTAACTATATATATGTAATCGTTAAATCATATCGGAATATTGATGGCAGAAACCCAACATGAACATAGTTTGAAGGGATATTTACCGATTGCTGCGATAGATTTATCTCTTTAAATGATAACTTTAACAGGCACTGCACAAATAAGTTTTCTTTTTAAATGAAATACTATCTGTATACCTTCTTATATATTTAGTTTAATCTATACATGTTTTTCAATTAACTGACGAAAATGAAGTACATAAATACCATATAGATAAAAGGAGTTCTTAAGTACACGATGGACAATGAAACAGTGATCCAATGACAAAATTAATTAATCCCATATAGAAGGCAACATATAGTCTTCAACACTTGTGTATGTCTATATGATAGGGCAAGCTGTAAATTGTCAAGATTTATAAACAAAATGTGAATAAATTTAACAGAAACCTTAAGATCAGTCATTAAAATCCCATTTTTTTAAAGAAGGAAAAATATTAATAAAGGACATACACCAACTTCTGATAAAGATCATTAAAGGTACTTGAATATGAATGGGTTTAACTAGGTCAGACCTTATTTTCCCGTTTATAAAATATAAAAACAACCTTGATATACACCTTAAACAATACTTGGAGATATTTCGAGAGACAAAGTATATATTCACAAACTATAGCTTTTCTAATATATTCGAACTTTGTGAAATGTAACAGTGTCTGATTTTATTCCATTAACGAAGGAGACAGTAGTTTATCGATGTTCAAATATCGTACATCGATAAGGAAGAGACGAAATGTAGGTGAAAAACAAACAGAGGATTCAAATGGTCGTTTTACATTTACATAAATCAGATCGGATATACCAGAAACGTCAGGAAAAGCATTTAATGCTAATACTTTATGTAAGTACGTCACCTATCTCACAACATACATTGCATTTTTATTATTCTAAGTGTTTTTTTATTATTTTTCTAAACTGGAAATTGTGCCATTCAAATACAACACAACATTAAAATGAACATAAACCTATAATTTGCAATTGATTTTAGTTGGTTTTTACACTGCAGCCATGCAATTCGAGCTGATAAATTATTCTAAATATACAGTCAATAGTATAAACAGTCACATACCGTGTTAATTATGTTGACATAAGTTCATTGTATTTCAGTTGATTAAGTTAGACTTCCTAATTTTTTTTATCGCAGTTGCCTTGTGAATATTATTTGTAATGAAATGAAAGCGTTGAAGTTTAAAAATTCAAAGTTCAATAGAACTAGACCAATTCTTAGTTTGACGAGATAACTGAAAATTAAGGTAAAAGACAGGTTAGTGTAAGTACTTTGTGTGTTTCTGAATCATATCTATTTCATGTATAATATATTGAATAACGTTTTGATGATTTAAATCAAATAGTTATTGTTCAACATTTTAAATAGAAATAAACATGTGATACTGAAGTCAGTTCGGTAAACAAGTCTTTATAAATTGTCTGTTTTGTTAACTTCCAGGAATAAATAACCTTACCCAAATTTGGCAAAACATTTTTATGTATCATTGTCATTTTGCTTTGTTTCTTTTGTTACCTAATCTGACATCGGACTCGGACTTCTTTTAAAATTAGTTTTACTGTGCGTATTGCTATGTGTTTCTTTATTCTACATTGGCTAGAGGTATAGGGGGAGGGTTGAGATCTCACAAAACATGTTTAACCCCGCCGCATTTTTGCGCCTGTCCCAAGTCAGGAGCCTCCGGCCTATGTTAGTCTTGTATGTTTTTTTTTAATTTAAGTTCCTTTGTATGTTTTGGAGTTTAGTGTGACGTCCATTTTCACTGAACCAGTACATAATTTTATTTAGGGGCCAGCTGAGGACCAACTCCGGTTGCGGGATTTTCTCGATGCGTTGAAGACCCATTGGTTGCCTTCGGCTGTTGTCTGCTCTTTGGTCCGGTTCTTGTCTCTTTGACATATTTCCCATTTTCATTCTCAATTTTATTAGATATAAGAATTGCAATTCTCTTCAACTTCGTTATTTATTTTGTCATCTTTTTTTTTATCCGAGCGCCATTATGCATAGTATGGGTGTCATATTGACGAAACAGCCTCTATCATTTTTGAGTTTATACAACATTTATACTGTTATGAAATGTTGTTTTCGTGCTTTGATTTGTCTTTTCCTTGTCTTTTTGTTTAGATCTGTGAAAAATTTGAATATGATGACGTCAGTTGAGACTTGAGTACATGTACGAACACATAAACACGGAAATAATAAAATATCATATTACATCAAAAGACGTAGAAAAACGGGTTCATCGACAATTTTAACATCTCCTGCTGTGCGCGCATTATCGTCCATATGATACGAATGTCATATCAAGAAGTTAGTTTCAAAGCCAAGATTTTGATGTAACATGTGAACTTTTTCAGTTAACACAATAATGGTCATGTGATCTATGTCGGTTCAAATATCAAATATCAAATTTGTGAAGTGATAATTTGAGATTTTTTCCTCATAGTATTCCTTGAAAAGATTTAAATCAAGAGTATTTCTGTTGATAACATTGCCATACTGACAAAATATCATGTTATAAGATACCAATGAAATTGCTTTGCACCTTAAATTTCAATTCAACCTACTTCCTTGAAATGTAAGGAATCAGTGGAATGAAACTTTGAGGGTATCATCAACTAAGAATTCAGTACTTCTGCACTGAATTGATTTAAAACAAACCTTTCTTTAATTGTCCGTTTCTAAATTTATAAATCATTAAGAAACCAACGTGTTCAGGCAAATTTTTCCTTAAAAGGATTTGGTTATCATCTATGTCATTTTCGGTCTTATGGGACTTTAACTGTTTTGGTTCTTTCTTATGCATCCTTGGCTTTCAAATGTTCGAATGTGAGCGTTCCTGATGAAGGTAGATTCAGAAATGCACTTCGGACACATTAAATTTATAAAGTATCGTTTTCATTTTTTAAGTTGAGACTAGTATATCATGTATATATTAAAGTCAGATCAAATATATTGTTGAATGTCAAACATCACGACTCCCTATATTTCCCTAACAACTTCTTTATTGAGATCATGATGTTGATTGTCATTCTTCTACTATGTATGTTGACCCTTCCCCTGATAATATTTTAATTTGCATATGGTATATCTGCCATATACTTCTGTTTAAACTAGTGTTATATTTACTTATGATTTTCATGTGTTTTGCATTGTTATATCGATTAAAATATGCGAAAAGAAAGTTTAAGATTAAGCTGTTTAAAGACTCAATAAATATAAAATAGAAATGGTCCTGTAAATTTTAGAATTAAGTTAACTAAATTATTAGTTTTACTTGTATAAATATAAAAAAAGAATAATATTCTTGATTTCTGGAAGTTAACAACCTCATCGTATATTAACTGCTTGAAACTATCATCGAGGTTAGCCTTCTATAATTATATACAAATGTAGTCAAGCTGAAACTGCTTAATCAGCTTGTTCACCACAACAATATGGCATTTGTTATCTTTGTGTCATTACTCTAGCTGACGTTCAAAAGTTCAAAACTTAAAAATGCATGTATTTTCAACATCTGTACAAATCATTTTCCAATCGTACAGATATGGTAATTCTATAATGTCCATAAGTCATTGACAAACGTTAACTTATCGTTTCGTGCTTATAACTTATAGATCAAGTTCAAAGAAGATTGTAATACTATTTTCTTCTCTTTGGTTTTTATAATCGATTTTTTGTTTTTATGAATATTTTCTAATCACATATTTCATGTATTTGTTTCGAACAAAATAGGTTTTGCATATGCGATAACCGCAGATTCGTCAAAGTCATATTTCTGCCTAGGGCAAATAACCGGTTAGATGAGACACGGGCACGTACCATTTTCTAAATGTTATATTATAAGAGGATTAAGATGCGAAGCTGCAAGTGATGAAAAAGTGTCAGATTATACATACTTTGATAATGTTCGCATGACCGTTTGAAACACTCCAATGTACACTGCTCTATCATTTTATTGGATAGTGAAATTTAACTTGCATCATTAGATTTACACTTGTTTTTGAATGCCATTTGAATCCAAGAAGGAGCGTACAATTTGAGATAGTTTATTTTACCTGTTACCTATCCTGGTACTACATGTTCTATATTTATTTTG